ATCATCTTTGTTGCTCATGTTAACATTTGTGAGCTCATAGTCCGAATCAGACTCGGACTTAGATTATGAGGTAGTCTTCTGCTTCCCTTTATCTTTCGGATCAATCTGCTTGGTGGATTTGGTCTGGTGCAGTACCAGTTCTCTAAACTCTATCCCCTTGCTTGGCGGATTTGCTGATGTTTTTGTGGTACCGCTTTTCACAGTCCTCCTCATTAATGGTTCCTCCTATTCTTGCTCCGATTCATCAATTAACTGCCTAGTCGGCGGTGCCTTTGCTCTCTCAGTCCACTTTCTTTTGTTCTGTGGGTTTGGAGCACCTGTCGCTTTTCCAGTAGGCTTTTTAGGCGGTTGCCTGTCATTATCTCTTTCTTGTTGTTTGGACGTTTTGCTCATTGCCACCATTAGGATAATATGTACCTGCAAAGCAAAGTCAACAATTAGTGTGCAGAACATTGAAGTTTCATATGTGAAGCAGTTGTGCAAGAGTGTGCACTTCTAATCGTCCGCACGCTTATGCCATTCAACACTTCATTCAAACATAGCCCATGGCTTTCAACAGGAATCAATTAACTGGTAGTACACGAGTGAGCAATGCACTTATAGACATCATTATGCGCAATGAGAGATAGATTCAAGTGTTGCTTAAGGCATGTTCGATTACCTACAATAGCTCACTTTGAATTTACTCAGCTATATCATTATAAACTTCTAGCAACCCCCCAATTAAAATCAAGACATACCAATACGCATAGAGCGCACATAATTCAAATTGAAGTAACACTTTACAATACAAGCAGTCAAGCATATGCCAGATGTTCAGCTTATTAGGACAATCTACCACAGGATCGAAACATTCCGACAAGGTTGTACACAATCAGTCAAACGACCCCACACTTGTTCATTAGCATATACAAGTGTCGCTCGGTTACTCAAACTTCGTCAGCACCTAAATTTACCTCTCAGGCTTTTTGTCAAACATGTGGAGTGCTACAGTTTTGCCTAGTACTTTCTAATAGTTGGGCAATTAAAATACCCTTCCAAAATTTAGTAGACGACGGGAATTATAGTTTGTCATCATCAAACATCACAACCAATCAGAGGCAGCTAGCAATGCCTCAAAATTTTCCAATTTCCCTTCTTAGTTTCATGAGGGAAGATCAATCTAAATTAACCTAACGTGGGAGACTTGGGGGTGTGAATTCTATTGCTACTTAGAGAAACAAGAAGAGATGATAGTTGAGGGAGAGAGGAAGACGAAGCACATACCTGAATGCTTGATCAAATCATGCAGCAACAGTGAGAGGAGGTTATGTTTGGGTTGAGAGGAAATGGGTGGGAGAAAGAGTTGGGATTTTAAGACTTGTGAAGTGTAATAACAATATAACACTTACATTTTGTGTGCTAGCTTGGATGCGACGCGTCCAAGCTGATTTCTTTGAAATTTTACGAATGCGGCTGTGGACGCTATGGCAGCTCTTCACTGCCTTGTGCAGTTGGCCTTTAATTTTTTGGACGCTAAGGGGGATGCGACGCATCCACCCTGTTTTCCCATGCCTTTAGTCTTTTTTTGTTGATAAATACATGCAAGAATTAATTCCTACAAAAAAAAATTAACGAACTCCCAAAAATAAATCAAAAATACAAAACGAACTGGAAAAATGAACAAACTACAAAAAACAAAAGAAAATGCTTGGGTTGCCTCCCAAGAAGCACATGATTTAACGTGACACGACGCAATACGTTCTTCACGCATCGGCCAAGTCCATTGAGGTCTTGTGACGTGCAATGTCACCACCCCAATAGTGTTTTACTCTCTGCCCATTTACCAAGAATGTCGCACTGGAACTCGTATCACACAATTCCACCACTCCATGATGCTTCACTCTAACCACTTCAAAAGGACCCACCCATCTAGATTTAAGCTTTCTGGGGAAAAGCTACGACCTCGAATTAAACAAGAGAACTTCTTGACCTGGATCAAACTCGCGATGTTGGATCTGCTTATCATGCCACCTCTTGGTCTTTTCTTTATACAACTTGGCATTTTCGTACGCATGCAATTGAAACTCATCAAGATCATTGAGCTGTAGCAACCTCTTCTCTCGGTTAAGTCCATATCCATATTTATCTTTTTAATCGCCCAATAGGCTTTGTGTTCAAGCTCGACGGGCAAGTGGCATGCCTTCCCATAAACCAACTTATACGGAGATGTTCCAATGGAAGTCTTGTATGCAGTTCGATAAGCCCATAATGCATCGTCAAGCTTTATGGCCCAGTCCTTCCTATTTCCACTCACCGTTTTTTCCAGAATTTGCTTCACCTCTCTGTTTGACACTTCCACTTGACCAATCATTTGGGGATGATAGGTGGTGGAAACCTTGTGCTTAACTCCATACTTTTCTAGAACATCGTTCAACAACTTGTTACAGAAGTGAGTTCCTCTGGCACTTATCAGCACCCTTGGAGTCCCAAAGCGTGTGAAGATGTGTTTTTACAAAGTTTACCACAACCTTTGCATCATTAGTAGGAAGAACAATGGCCTCCACCCACTTAGACACATAGTCGACCGCCAACAAGATGTATCTGTGACCATTAGAGTACGAGAACGGTCCCATGAAATCAATCCCCCAATCATCAAAGATCTCTACTGCCAGAATGTTTTGCAAAGGCATCTCGTGCTTCTTCGTGATTGTTTCGGTTCTTTGGCACTTGTCACACTGTTTAACAAAAGGCGTGTGCATCCCTAAACAATTTTGGGCAATAGAAACCCGATTGCAACACTTTTTGGACGGTTCTATCCCTACCGTGATGACCTCCATATGGAGACGCGTGATAGTCATGAAAGATTGCATTCATCTCATCCTCAGGATTCGTACTAACTTATCTGCACACTGCTTATACAGGAATGGCTCATCCCACAAGTAGAGCCTCACATCATATAGAAATATTCTTCTATTATCAGGTGTCAATTCTGGTGGCGTCACCCCACTTGTAATAAAATTCACGTAGTCTGCATACCATAGGGCTTCACTTGAGGTGATTGCCAATAACTGCTCATCCGGAAATGTTTCCTTAATCGAACCTCCCTCAGCCTCATCGTTCCGATTTTCTAATATGGACAAGTGATCAACCACTTGATTCTCTGTTCCTTTTCGATCTCGGATCTCTAAGTCAAATTCTTGAAAAAAGAGGACCCAATGAATCAGCCTCAGCTTGGCGTCTCTCTTTTCAAACAAATAACTTATAGCTAAATGATCGGTGTAGACGATGACTTTGGTTCCCACTAGATAAGATCTAAACTTGTCAAACGCCCACACTACTGCAAGCAATTCTTTATCAGTAACAATATAGTTCATCTAGGCTGGATTCAGAGTTTTGCTCGCGTAGTAAATGAAGTGAAAATTTTTATCCCTCCTTTGCCCCAAAACAGCTCCTATTGTGACGTCACTTGCATCGCACATCAACTCAAATGGCTGCGCCGAGTCCGGGGCAAGGATAATTGGCACAATCACCAATTTGTTCTTCAGCTCTTCAAATGCTCTCAAACAAGAATCATCAAATTTGAAGGGGATATCTTTCTCAAGAAGCCTTCACAGAGGAGAAGAAATTTTTGAAAAATCTTTAATGAAACGACGATAAAAACCTGCATGGCCCAAGAAACTACGAATGCCCTAAACGGATGTTGGTGGGGGCAATTTTTCAACCGCCTCCACCTTTGCCTTGTCCACCTGCAAACCATTTTTGGACACCTTGTGCCCCAAGATTATACCTTCGCGTAACATGAAATGTCATTTTCCCCAGTTTAGCACCAAGTTTGTCTCTTCACACCTAGCAAATAATTTATCAAGGTTCATTAAATAATTATCAAAAGAACACCCAAACACAGAAAAATCATCCATGAACACTTCTAAAACTCTTTCAACCATGTCAGTAAAAATAGCCATCATACACCTTTGAAAAGTCGCAGGTGCATTACAAAGACCAAATGACATTCTCTTGAACGTATACGTGCCATAGGGACACATAAATGTGGTCTTCTCTTGGTTCTCTAGGGTTATAACAATCTGATTATACCCCGAATAGCCATCCAAGAAATAATAGTATTCCTGTCCAGCTAGTCTATCAAGCATTTGGTCAATAAAGGAGAGGGGAAAGTGGTCCTTGCGGGTGGCATTGTTTAATTTTCTATAATCTATAAATTATCCACCATGTCACAGTACTTGTGGGAATCAAGTCATTATTTTCATTAACCATTACAGTCATCCCCCCTTCTTATGCACATATTGGACGGGGCTTACCTATTTGCTATCAGAGATTGAAAATATAATACCTGCATCGAGCCACTTAATCACTTCTTTTCTTACCATCTCTTTCATAATTGGATTTAGGCGGCGCTGGTGCTCTACACTTGGCTTGTGTCCGTCCTTCATGAGGATTTTATGCATGTAGAAGATTGGACTAATGCCTCTAATGTCAGACATCGTCCACCCAATAGATCGCTTGTGCTCATGCAGTACTTTTAACAGCTTTTCTTCCTGTAATTTAGACAAGTCAGAGGAAAAAATAATAGGTAAAGTGTCAGAACCACCCAAATAAGCATATTGAAGGTGAGGGGGCAAGGGTTTAAGTTACAATTTTGGAGCCTCTTCAATCTGCGGCTTTGGCGGAGGCCCACTCAGCCTATTTAAGGGCTCAAAGGGGTTTAATCCTTGCATGTAGACACATGATGCATCTAGTATATGCATCATCTTCTCAACCTCGTCATCAATATCCAAGCTATCGAACAATTTAAGTGCTTTCTCTAAAGAATCGTCTAGATATACACTCTGATCTATCAGTTTCTCATCCACCTCCATAACAGATATCATAAAGAGCTCCTCATAATGGCGGGGAAGTTGAATCGCCTTGTAAACATTAAAAATAGCTTCCTCGTTGTCCACCCTCATAATCATTTTTCCCTCTCTTACTTTAATAATTGCATCACTTGTAGCCAAGAGAGGTCATCCTAATATGATTGGGACTTGTTCATCAGCCTCATAATCTAGGATAATGAAGTCCGCTGGGAAGATGAATTTCTCAATTTGCAACAACACATCTTCAATCACTCCTTCAGGGCAAGCTATGGATTTATCAGCTAGTTGCAACATCATAGTGGTTGGTCTTGGAGCTCCCAGACCCAATTTCTTGAACAAGGACAAGGACATTAGATTTATGCTCGCCCCCAAATCACAAAGAGCACGTTCCACATCAATATTACCAATCCGCACAGGGATAGTGAAGTTGCCAGGGTCCTTAAGCTTTTGAGGAAGCTTGTTTTGACTCTCGAAGTGCACTCCTCAGTAAGTGCAACTGTCTCGAATTTAGCCAATCTCCTCTTGTGAGCCACTATATCTTTGATGTACTTAGCATATTTTTGAATTCCACGGAGTACATCCACCAATGGAATATTTAATTGAACCTGGCTCAACATAGAGAGAAATTTGTTAAACATGCGATCATCAATCTTCTTCTGTAACCTTTGGGCGAAAGGTGACGGTGGCATTGCAGCACTCACTGGCTCTGAACTTGCATCATCTTTCTTTGACTCGGGTGTTGCCTTAGAAATCAACCTCCCCTCAGGTGTAGGCTTATCTTTTCTCTTCTTTCAATTTCCTCCGGTTTCTGAGTGTGACTGCATTAACTTGAGGGTTCTTCTCTGTATCACTAGGAAGAGCGCCTGCAGGCCTGGTATTTTGATTTGATTCTAACTGCCCAACTTGCCTCTCAAAATTTCTGAAATCGGTCCTGAGTTGTTGATTGTCAAGCAACAACTTCTTTAATAAGTCATTTGTACTCTCCTTAACTTGCTGGGGTGGCTTCTGAGGTTGACTGTAGTTTCCTTGGGGTTTATACTGATTCTGAGTCGCCTGATTTCCACCCCAGGAGAAAGGGTGATTCTTCCAGTTTGGGTTGTAAGTGTTCCCATATTGTGCATGCAGATTCATCGGACCCTTTCTTTATTGCCCCACATAATAGATGGATTCTGGATTCGTGGGACATATGTCACTCGTGTGACCTTCAACACATAACTCATAGCAAGTCGACAAGTGTTGCACATGTTGCATCTGTTGCGTTTGGTGCATTGTCATTCTATTTATCTGATTTGCTGATTTCGCTATATCTGCTCTCATGGCTGAGAAATCATCAAGCTCAATTACACCTGCTGCCTTCTGTTTAGGTGCTCTTCGTGATTCCCCATCTCCTTGCCAATTATTATCATTAGCAGTGAAATTGTTTAGCAGGAGTTGGATTTCACTATACGACATTGCCATGTAACTACCCCCACAAGCTAAATCAAGATTCATCTTTGATGTCTCGTCTAACCCATCAACAAAAGTGTGACCTAACATCTCATCAGTCTGATAATGATGTGTGCAGTGTCTGAGTAGCTTCTTGTATTTTTCCCAAGCTTGACGAAGAGTCTCTCCATCCCGTTGTTAGAACCCAAGAATCTGGCTCCTCGGCGACTTTGTCTTTTTAGTGGGAAAAAACTTGATTAAGAATTTTCTTGCTAGATCATCCCAAGTGTGGATCGAGTTCGGGGGCTCTTTTTGCAACCATTCTTTGGTTTCCCCCAACAGTGAAAAGGGGAATAATGTCAGTCTGACATAATACTTAGAGACGTTCGGATAATTGTAAGTATCCATAATTTCCAAGAAGTTCTAAATATGATGATGCGGGTCTTCATGAGATAAACCCACATACTGCCCTGTGGACTGAATCAGCTGGACCATGTACTGTTTGAGTTCAAAATGACCTGTGATATCAGGCTTCACAATAGCCTGGGTCATATTAGCAAGATTGGGCCTAGCGGCTTCTATCACCGGTCACTCTTCATTAACTGCCATCTCTAGCAGTTGTGGTTGAACTACGATGTCCAACTCTCTTTCTATTCTAGTTCTAGCTTTGACTTCCCTCCTCACCCTGTGAAGTGTTCGTTCAATTTCCGGATCAAGAGGAAGGAGGTTGTTTGCGCTTCTATTCCTCCACATTCAAGAGAAGAGCATGCATTAACATAAAGTAAACTGAAAATTAAAATTTGAACAAATAACTAATAAAAGCTTAACTCGTATCCTATTTCGTCTCAGCTTCAGCTTCTCAGCATCGCATCCACCCTCTGTTCCTTCATCTCTGTTGTGCCCAGGTGCGGATGCTAATGCGGATGCCTTAGCCCGACTTCACTGCTAGGGGTGCACCAAATACATTTTTTACTAGGTTGGATGCCACGCATCCACCCTCTTCTCCTATAGCCGGAGCATCTTTTCTTCATATTTTTGCACTCCAAACGCCCTAAATCATCACACACAACTCAATTAGTCATAAAACTAATAATTAACACATGTCGGGCATTCTAAACACCATAAAGCACCAAAAAGCGGTTAAAATATGGGTAAAGTAATATTAAAACATATAGAAATATGCCCAACATCACCTACCACATAATACACATCTTCTATAGTATGAGAGAGTGATTTACCAACCTTGCCAATACCTGTTATCTGGCCTTTTTTCCCATTTCCAAATGACACACTCCCTTTTTGGAAGGCTGTCAGTGAGAGAAAGTTTTTCTTTTCTCCATTCATATGTCTTGAGCATCCACTGTCTAGATACCAATCCTGATTGTTTCCTCTCACCTTAGCCTACACCAAAATTCACGAGTTAGTTTTGGGAATCCAGACTAGCTTGGGTCCCTTTTTGTTTGAAAAATGATGAATCAGATCCCTTCTTGCCCAGAAGGGGAGAGGATTAGACGCTATTTTATTGTTAACCTTAATCTACTTAGTATAGACAGGATGATTAACCTTTGGCTCCTCTTCTTTCTTCACATTTTAGCAATACCAAAGGTGTTTTTAAACTTAGCATGAATTAAGGCAGGACAAGTGTCTCTAAAGTGTCCTACTCTTCCATAATGAGTGTACATGTTATTTTCAGAAATTCCTACATACTTTGGGTCAAACTTAGGGACATGTTTTCTGTAGCCAATTCCAGATTTGTTAGGGCTACAGTTTTCATTCAGCCAATTCAAGACATCAGAAGATCTATGCCATTTGCTTAGTCTAGAGAGTTCATAATTATCCCTTTCTAGGTTTTCATGGAGGACTTTATTTCTATATTCAGCATCATAAAGATTACGGCAAATGGCCAAATATACCCCTCTACTTTCGAAAATGGTCTAAGAATACCCCTCGTTATACTATTGGGTTATCTATACCCCTGCAGTCATACTTTTGGTTCAAATATACCCCTCATTTAAACGGAGGGACACGTGTCATCGTCCTGTTGATCAATTCTAAATATCTCCTAATTAATTAAAAAGAATCATTACCCATACACGAAAAAAAAATTATAAAAACTCGAAAAAACTGAAATTATTTTTACTAAAAACTAGAAAAAACGAAAATATTTTTTTCCAGTTTTTACAAAAAAACTGTCTTAGACAAAACTAAAACATATTTTCTAAAACAATGTTTAAATAAAAACTGAAAAAACAAAAAGCTGAAAATCAATTTTCTAAAGCAAGTAAAAACTAGAAAAAACTGAAATATTTTTAACTAAAAACCGAAAAAAAATATATTTATTTTTTCAGTTTTTACAAAAATATTGCATTAGAAAATTACTTTTTAGGTTTTTTTTTTTCCAGTTTTTACAAAAATATTATTTTAGAAAATATGTTTCAGCCTTTTTTAAAGCAGTTTTTTTGTAAAAACTGGAAAAAAAATATTTTCGTGTTTTTCAGTTTCTAGTAAAAAATATTTCAATTTTTTCAGTTTTTACAAAAAAATTGGTTTAGAAAATTGGTTTTCAGCTTTTGTTTTTAAGTTTTTTCTAATGCAATTTTTTTGTAAAAACGGGAAAAAAAAAATATTTTCGTTTTTTTCAGTTTTTAGTAAAAATAATTACAGTTTTTTCCAGTTTTTACAAAAAAAAAAATTATTTTTCGTGTATGGGTAATGATTCTTTTTAATTAATTAGGAGATATTTAGAATTGACCAACAGGACGATGACACGTGTCCCTCCATTTAAATGAGGGGTATATTTGAACCAAAGTATGACTGCACGGGTATAGATAACCCAATAGTATAACGAGGGGTATTCTTAGACCATATTCGAAAGTAGAGAGGTACATTTAGCCCTTTGCCGTAAAGATTATCATTAGCAATTTTTAGTTCTTTTTCAAGCTTATCCTACAGATCACTCATTTTTCCTTTGTCATGTGTATCAAGAGACTTCTCATTCTTAGAAGTAAGTTCAAGAACCCGGTTCTTAAGGCCTTTGACTTGTTTCTCTAAACTAGCTTTGTCAGATTCAAGCTCTTTGATGTCAAGTTTGACACAATAAAGGTTGTTGATTAGCTGATCATTTCCATTACTCATTTTATCCATTTCATTCATTAAGGTCACAATTATGGTCATCAGTTACTTTTTGGACATAACATGAATATTTTCTTTCAAGTCAGATATACTTATCTGGTTTGCCTCATCTTCAGTTTCTGAATCACTAATGGCCATTATTCCTACCACTTCTTCCTCTGTTTTTGATTCTTCAATCGCCATCAGAGCCACTTCGATGTTTTCATTTCCAAAGTTAATTTCCATGATCCTCCATATGTCATGAGCAAATATGCAAGAGGACACTCTGAGGAGGGTGTTTCTAGACAGACTTCTGTAGAGAAAGTCTTTTGCTTTAGCATTTTTCTGAACTAGCTAACGATCATCCTCATCGTATTCTTCTTCTCTTTTGTTGCACTTGTTACCTTCACCATCCAATTTGATTGGGAGAATTGGTACATGAATGACAATTACCCATAAGTCAAAGTTAGTAGCCTGAAGAAATGTTTCCATACGTAGCTTCCATTTATCATAGTGGTGTTCATCAAACAAAAGAGGTTTTCCAATATGCATCCCAAGCTGTACTGAGGGTTCTGTCTTCACAGCTTGGTGTTCATCAATCACAGCATAGAGACTTATAGCCTCATCCTCATTTTCTTCCTCTTGATCACTCACTACAAAAAAAAACTGAAATTAGCTATGAACGTCTAATCTGTCGCTAAAACGCTCGTAGCTAGCATAAGTTCTTGATAATCTGTTGCTAATCCGTCGCTAAATGAGATTAGTGATAGATTTTTCTGTTTAGCTACATAATTTGTTCATCGCTAAAACCTGATTTTTTAGTAGTGACTCCCACTATCCTCATATGCTGCCAGGAATGCCTGCTTCATGGCTTCAGTAAATCCTTTGCCTAGGATTTTTCCTTTGTTGGAACCCTTTTCTCTCATCTTCTTCCGTTTCTCCTTTTCAGCTCGTTCTTTCCTCCACTCGATTTCCCAAATTGGGCAGTCCTTTACCATGGGATCTAGCTTGCCACACTTGTAGCACCCATCATAGTTAGCTTTGTCGGCCTGCTTGTGTTTACTACTGGTCTCTCTCTTGGATGCACTTTTGGAATTCTTCATGAACCTCTTAAACTTGGCAAACATTACTAAATTAGGATTATCATAGTCAT